TGGGTGTCTTTTAGAAGGAAACAAAGACGTAATGGAGTTATCCCCCATATCGCTGTTGGGACCAATTTAGTAAAGCTATGGAGTGGGGAGTCTCACAAATGTTTTTCAAAAGGGATGAAATGGACAAGTCCCCAAACCAAGTCCTTGACTCATACTTCGGACCATTTCAATGCCTCAGGATTTTTAAGCTCAATTTTTCCAAATTATGAGGTTTTTCAAGATAGGAAGGCCCTAGATTTAATGGATATCAAGGGGGGGGACCAGGAATAATGGATAGGGGACTTGCACTTTGGTTCAATGAAAGTGAATGAACCAGGAAACCAAGCCTTGGAGCTTTCTCACTTAACACTTGGGGACCATCTTTAAGCAAAGTTGTGGACAGGGAAGTTTGTAATTGATCATGGCTGGTTCCACCTTGTAAGTGAAACTAAAGCTCCCAAGAACACGTGGTGTGGTCCATGGCAGCAAGGACAATTAGGGTACGCTTGTTTAGTGGAAAAATCTCGCTCCAGACGAAAACTTCACCACCGCTTCCCCAATGTTTGTTTCATGAGAAAGTGAGAGACATTGTCCCGCCTTGGAAAGGGCTGCAATGTGCCAAAAGTGCTTCATTAATATGCTTTCGTGATGTAGCGCTTTGGTACGTACTTAGGTATGAAAGCAGTTTCCCATGTGACAACTTTCATATTGAAAAGCTCTCTCGTTAGAGATCTTTCCAATGAAACAAATTTACCCTTAGATTCATTGGAGGCATGACTGATTCATGGGATGAAACAAGTGAAGGGGATGGAGCATAAAAATTCCACACCCAAAGAACCGTAGTAATGAAAACTCTTAGCCGTTTGGATGCATAATAATGTCACGAATTAGGACGCTTCAACTAAGCCATGGACAATTTCTAAGACACCTACTAATTTGAGTTCTTAATGGATGCAATTTCTATTTGACTTTTTTGAAAAAAAGAAGAAAGTAAAGCCTTATCGGGAAATCTTTGTCTAGAAAACACTTCGGATATCCTTAAGATGGCTCTAAAATCTATTTCTACCCTTGATTATGAAACTTGTAGCTTAAAAAATGGTACAGATCTTGTAGATTTATGAACACTTGGAAATGAACAGTCTAGATAATGCCTTTCAATAGAAATTATTTTTAGTGCTTAGAGTCTTTTGTTTTTTTTCACATCTATAACGATCAAAGTCGAGATGATCAATTTGAAGGTTTTTTGACATCGAAACTATAATTTTTGGTGAATTTTGAGATGACGTTGTACTTTTTTCTATGAAACCTTAGATTTATTTTTAGCTTTTTCTTTGTTAATTTTACCACCATTGTTAGTGGATTCCTTATATTTGCTAGGATAGAATATGAATATATTACAAGAAAACTAAACTAACAATTGAATTCTCCCGATCCCCCATTTAAGATGCTCCAAGATTATCGGCTTCAACCGACTTCCTTTCGATATTTTTGTTGTTTTTAATAACTTCATTTACTGTTATATAAAATATGGGCGCGTCACTCCTGCAGGAAAAAAAAATGTATAATTGCTCCATCAAGCCAAACACTAAATTAGGAGCAATGACTTAAAAATGGAAAGTGGTTTGATAGGGCTGCAGCCCTATCCAAATAACTAAAGCCTCACTTCATAACTCATCGAAAATTACAATTCAAGCATCGAAAAACCTTTACATTAATCATCTCAGCTTCCAAGTTATGATTGTGAAAAAAATTAAGATTCCAAGCTTTAAAAATAGTGTATATTATAACAAATTATTTAGACCATCTATTTCACCCTAAAAATATAGATCCATGCATCATTTTTTTAAGTTTCAAACTTTATTGTCGGTTTGAAAATTGATGTTAGAACTATCATGGAGATTTCCGTTGCTGAAAATACTTTGTGGAGGAAGATTTGAAGTGAGGCTTTATTTTGTTTTAATAAAGCCCAGGCCTTGTAAAAACTTCATCCTTTAAAAATTGCCGATCCGCCACATGGGGTTTCTCCGGTTTTCGGGGGCACTAAACTGGAGACTCGCCCTATTCGTGATCGGGAAATTCTCATAGACCCGAAATCCCTCTTTGAAGGTGTTTTTATTGATAATGAAAAACATTTCTCCTTTTCCTTAGATCGGGGCCACATTTGAATCCGTTTAAGCCCCAAACTTGATACTCCTCGCCGTTTGTTGCATGATCCACACGATCTATAACATATTTTTGCCAATGATAGCCTATTTGTAATCGAAATATTCTGGAAATAGGGCTGATTTCAAAGTTTACTTTGGATCTATATATTTCTGAAACATTAAATACGAATGGGTTATAATGCTAATGGACAACACTTAAAAATCACTTACAAGTGAATTTCTACAGTATTTCGTTCATGGCTTATCACCATCCAAAGTCTATTAGATGATTACTATTGTCTAATAGTATTTGAATTTTAATAATTTTTATACAAATCAAATTGACTTAAAATATTGTGGGTGTGTATGTCTTAGTGAGACACACCTAAATAAAATATAAAAAATAATATAAATAATAAAAATGGCCAAATTACTCCTATCAATATTTGAGGGGTATTTTCATCATTTATTTGTTTATGAAATATTTTTAATATTTTATTTAGGTGCTAATTGATTAGAGGTACACAAACTCCAAATATCATGGCAATTTGATTTGTAAAAAAATTATTAAAATTCAAAGACTAAAGCAGACCGCCTAGCGCCTGAGCCGCAAAAAAAACTAGAAATCCCTGGGTGCCCGCCTAGGCACTCGACAACTAGGCATTTTTGGTCATTTTTTTAATAATAAAGGGAAAAAATTATGGGTTTTAGGTTCATTTGAAACTTAAAACCTATTAGAGTCTATTTTAGAGAAATAAATATAAAAACATCTAGGTTTTGGTGATTTCCATAAGATCGAAAGATTTCTCAAAGTTACAAGAAATTGATCTAAGCATCACCCATTAATATTAGATTTAATTTTCGGTGTTTTATAAATCTATTAGAGGATTTTTTAAAGGAGTTTGAGTCATTAGAAACTGGGCCGCCCAGGTTCTGGTTGCCCACCTAGACGCTGCGTGGCCTAGATCCCCCTAGCCGCGTAGCGCTTTTGAAACTTTGACGGTAAGATGAACTTTGGGTGGGGATGAGCCATAAGTGAAATACAGTAAAAATTAACTCATGAATGTTTGAAAGTTTTTTCCGGTACTAATGCATTTCATTGACAAATGAATGTGCTAACATATTTAGGAAGTTTTTTTAGGGTGCTTAAGATTTCCTTGCTTGTGGAACTAGGACTCCGAAGCACTGGGATTCAACCCATGGTCATGCACATAGTTAACTAAATACGAAATAAGTGAATACAATGACAAAGGACGTACCGGGAATAAAGCAAACAAAAAAAGCACACTATAAACATACGTAATTGTACGTGGTTCACCCCGTTATGTTCACAACCTCAAAAAGTAGAAATCCACTATCTCTATCAAGATTACTATTTGATTACAATTTGAGTTACAAGAGATATATATATCTCTAAACATTGGTCAGAACCTCATTGATATTCTCTTTTAAATCCACTTTTTTGACCAAACAATACTTTCAATCAATCTTATCTTTCCCACTGCAAAAATAACATCGAAAACAATCAAGAAATTTTTTTCTCTCCAAAAGTGGAAGTACAACTAACCCAAACCCTTATAAGAATACCGCCTCTCTCTAAAGGACCATGTCTCTCTTTAATGGAGACTAATTTCCTTTTTGAAGATCTCTTCTCATGGCCGTAAATGGGTGATCTTAAAGTTGTGAGTATTATGTCTTCCTTAGCTTTCTTATATCGAGACCACTAAGATTTTTTTCTTGCTTCTGAGTAAATCCCATCTTTTTACCATAATGTCTTTGATCTTTCCAAAGAAAATAGACCTGCAGTAGTTTGGCCATCACCAAACCTAACATTTTTCATGATCTTCCATCATTTTTGGATAGGCTCAAGCAGAATTGACGACCCTATTTGATTGGCGACTCGGCTGGTTAATCCGGAATCGGTGATCTTATTGAATTGATGACTGAGTCTAGCACCTATTCCAGTATTTTAAACACTTGATAGGTGATTCACTCTTATAGGAAATTTGGAAATCACCTTAAAATCCCTATATGAGCAATTTTAACCATAAAAAAGAAAAACGAGTTTCTCAAAACCAAGATCACCGAGTCCAAAAAACAATGGATTGTATTAAACCTTGGGGGATTCTTTTCAAGTAATTAATATTGTGCAATTCATCGAACCATTCTTTTTTAAGTTGGTCTCTGAATTGTTCAAATACATCTGCACTATTTGGGGCTCAATAGGTATTCCTGTACAGGTTTTCATAATATAATCACACTTCATGAGAATATAACTCTATTCCATGGAGGTATTGATTTATGAAACTTCTTTATTATTTCTAACATAAAAGGGACTAAATTAGCATAACTTCCACATAATTCCAAAAAAAAAAACTAAAACATGTAATTTAGAATGCCAAGTCCATTAATTGCAAACCATACCAAATATAACCTACACACTATTTTCAAGGCACAAATGCATGAAAAATCCGGTCCTTTGCAGAAGTCACATGTCCCACGTGTACGGTGGACTAGAAATATATACATACTCATTCATGTAGCTAGAGCTAGAGCTAATGCCTGCTCTCATGGCGTATATATCTAGATATATTGAATTATATATATATATATATATATATATATATATATATATATATACTACTACTACGTACTATTAGTACTACTACCTACCTACGTAGTAGTTACTTACGTAGTACGTACGTTACCGTTACGTTAGTTAGTAAAGTTAAACGT